GACTAACGATCATAATTGACTTAACAGTAGCAATATTTCAACGAAATTCAAAATAAACAACTTTTATAAGAACCAATATCTATCTTCCAAATTTGATTTTAACGCTCATAACTGTCTTAATAATAGCTGTATTATGACGAAATTCAACATAAACAAGAACAAAAATCTCTTTACCAAATTTGGTGACTATCGACTCATAATTGATCCTTCCACCATATAAGATCACCACTAGAAGATTACCCTATCGCTCTTAAGTGACCTAATAATAGCAGTAAGCGACGAAATTTGACACAAACAAGTTTTATAAGAACAAAATTTCTCGACCAAATTTTAAGACGATGCGAACATAATTGACCAATCCCCTTTTATGAGGTCTACTTCGGAAAATGACTCTAACAAGTATTATAGGAAGAAAAATCTCTCTCCAAAATTTTTTAATGATCAGTTCATTGTTGACCATACCCGCATACCCGCAAATTCTTCTTCAGAAAATGACTTTAACGCTCATAACAGGCTTAATAATACCAGCATAGTGAAATTCGTCATAAACAAATTTATAGAAACAAAAATATCTGTACCAAATTCTGTAAGGATGGGTCCATAATACGCTTTCTGGTCCCTTACTTATAGCCAAACATTTTATGTCGAAAATATATAAATCTTTTATAGATCACTGTAAAACGTTTCTAAAACAATATTTAAATATTGAGGTTTTCAAGTTTTTAGTATTTAACTGTATCCAAACTCTCCACATTATTAATAATTTAATTACGATACTTTCAATTTCCAAAAAATATGTTTTAATTCGAAAAACATGAAAATTTCGGAATGTATGATCATGATTTACATCTTATCTTCGTAGGAGCGCTCATGATGCCCCATTCGTTTATAGTGAACTTTTCAATTAAACATTTAAAGAATTAAACATTTTCTTACAATACTACCTTATACATGGAACAAATTCAGTGGGAGAGGTAGGTTTATATGGCTTTAAAAACTTTGGATCACAACTTGTTGTTTAACGTTTCACAAACGACTCTAAACTTTCAATTGTTAGTTGACTTTTTACCTAACTCTATCAACTGGCTTTTAAACTTTGACAATTTTCCACAACCAAAGCTTTACTTTTTAAATTGATCAACTACATTTCTAGAGATCCAGTACCAATTCCAAATGGCACAAGGGTAAATAAAAGCAAGGAAATTACTGAAAACTAATTGTTTTGTTTTCGTTCTTTCTCGCCCAAAAAGAATTTGCTTTATTTTGCTTACGTACAGAACGATTAAACAAAGATGAAAAGTTGTGTATATTGTAGAAACGTTTGCGAATTGTTTTGTTAATTTTAACAAACACTGCTCGTTAATCAATTCCGAAATATTTTAAAATATATAAATGTTTTTTTATAAAATAAGAAAGTATTTATGAAACTAAAGAGCCACAGCTCCACATCCAAAGAGCCGCCTTTGGCTCGCGAGCCGTAGTTTGCCGACCCCTGGTCTAGTCGATAGTCTAGTTTATATTCTAGTCTATAGTCTAGCCTATTGTATAGTCTAGTAGAGTTTATAGTCTAGTCAATTATCTAGTCTATAGCTTATTCCAGTTTATAGTCTATTCTATAGTATAAATTACTTTAGTTTAGTACTTTAAAACTTAAAAAGTACTCTGTAGTGTAGCTTATAGTTTAGCCTATTGTCTAGTCTAGTAGAGTTTACAGGTTTCAAGAGTGCTAGTATACACCCAAGTTGAACAGCTGACAGATCAGATAGATCAGAAAAGTGCGACGAACCCAGCGCCTGATGACGGAGCGATTCCAGGGCCGGGCAGTTACACAGAAGATGAGTAATTGTTTCCTCCTCTTCTTCATTTTGACAGCTCCTACAAAAGTCATTATATGGAATACCAATACGTCTAGCATGGTTTCCGAACTTTGAATGACCGGTAAGAACTGATAACAGAGCGCTCAGATATATTCTGTTTAGCACTAAAATGTAGGATGTTTTATGAGAATCCATACGAGGCCACAGTAACCTAGCGATCGAGCAAGTGTGCTCCTGAGACCACCGTTCCTGAGCTGAACTAAAGTAATAATCAAGTATTTGTTTCTTGATTATCGCTAAGGGGACACCACAGAACTGGTCTATATCCAGTATGGTCATCCTCGTGCCGGCTTTTGCCAAAATGTCAGCAGTAGTATAGCCAGTTATATCCCCGTGTCCTTTGACCCAAACGAGGGTAATTCTTAAATGTCTCGCCATCTCGTTTAGAGACGCCCGGCATTCTTGGACAAGTTTTGATGTAGAATACAGGGATTTGATAGCGGCTTGACTGTCAGTATAAATTCTGATAGCTCTGTTGGATATCCGATAGTACCTAAGCCAATTAGATGCCTTTTTTATAGCTGAGATTTCAGCCTGTAAAATAGTATATTCGTCGTTGAGTCGGAAAGAGATTTTCGTCCCGAATTCTTCAATGAATATGCCACCGCCGACACCTTTAGTTGTTTTAGAGCCATCTGTATACACGTTAAAGCTTTCAACACTTTCAGGTGCTAATTCATTATAATCACAGATTAAACTATACCGGAAGTTCCTCGAAATGCACGGTTCCGAAATATGGTAGTCAATAGCATGATGTAGGTTTGGTAGAAGATCTACAATCTTTGCATGACCTCTGGAACCGTAGTTCCATCTATTTGTAATACTTAGTCTGGCTGCAGTATTCATTGTCAGTTGTTTAGCAAGAAGATCCACAGGCAGCCAGTTCAGCATGGCAAACAACGCATTACTGGGCGTATTCCTAACTACACCTGTTATAAGAAGAGTAGATTGTCTCATAACTTTTGTGAGAATATTTCTGTTAGATGTTTTGTCAAGTGCATACCACCATACCCCAATGCAGGCCAATAGCCTTTCTACAAACGTATAATGCCGTAATGGCTTTGGAAGATCTGGAGATGATATTCAAGCTCCAAGACAATTTTCTATCAAGAATAACACCTAAGTATTTTGCGCTATCCGACAGCGTAAGAACCTCGCCGTTGAGACGTGGAAGGGAGAATTGAGGAATTTTGTATTTTTTCGTGAACAATACTAGTTCCGTTTTCCTGGTTTACGCTGAGACCGCATACAACACTCTATGAGCTTATTACCTTCAGCGCTTCTTCTAATCTCTGAGACAGAGTCTCAAGATGCGTACCAGTTACCGCTACTGCAACATCGTCAGCGTAAGCAACCGTCTTAAAACCTAGTGAGTCAAGTCTAACCAATAGTTCGTTTATTGCCATATTCCAAAGAATAGGGGACAACACCCCTCCTTGAGGAGTGCCCCGGATGGCTTTTTTTTATAGATTGTTGTATCACCCAGTGAAGATACAATAGTCCGTTCAGATAGTAAGTTCTTTACAAAACTCACAATAGATCGGTCCACACCCATCCAAGAGAGGGATTGACAGATAGGTGAGGATCTGACGTTGTTAAAAGCTCCTTCAATATCGAGAAAGGCAACCAGAGTGAAGTTTCCATAACTCATGTATTTTTCAATATACCCAACCAGGGAATGTAAAGCCGTCTCAACAGATTTACCTTTCATGTAGGCATGCTGAGAGTTTGAGAGAGTAGAGATTTGCCAATAGATATCCTGAGATTGATATCAATTATTCTCTCCAGAGTTTTAAGCAAGAATGACGCCAGACTGATGGGTCTGAAGTCTTTTGCCTTGGTGTGAGATGTCTTTCCCCCTTTTGGGATAAAGATCACGTTACACCTGGTCCACTGAACAGGTATGTAGAACCAGTATAAACAGGCCTTGTAAATATTACTTAGCCAGGGAATGATACGATCTAAATTATTTTGTAGATCCGCTGGAATAATGCCATCAGGGCCAGGTGATTTATAGGTGTCGAAACTTCTTATTGCCCAGCGGATGATGTCATCATCTATCATAACATCTGCAGCAGTATTATCAAGTTCAATACCATGCTGATTATATGCAACTGATTCACCAGTTGGGATGCAACCGGGAAAGTGAGTATTCAAAAGAAGCTCAAGTGTCTCTTGACTACCTGCAGTCCAATTTCCGTCCGCTTTTTGTATATAACTTGGGACGGAAGGAGATTTAGACAGGATTTTACGAAGACGACTCGTATCTGATGAATTTTCTATAGAACTACAGAATTTTCTCCAGGAACTACGCTTCGCACTTCGTACCTGATTTTTAAATTCATTTACTTTTGACTTATAAAGAGACCAGATACCAGATCTCTTTGCCTCGTTAAATAATTTACGACATAACCTACGAGTTTTCGCAATTTCGGGATCCCTACAAAGGGGGTTTACCCTTACGCATACCTTTTGATAATCTACAGGCCGTATTTGTGGCTACACTAATAGAGCTTGAGATCCAATTAACGGCTAAATCAATGTCACTTCTACTTTCTATCATCGGAGCAGTAGGAAGAATATCAGTCAAGGTTGCTTTATGTACCTCCCAGTTCGTCTTTCTTCAATTGAGAAATGTTTTTATAATCTTTGCCTGAACCACTATTTCGAATTCTATATAGCAGTGATCAGAGATGGAGCATTAATTTGAGACCTTCCAACCCTGAACTAGATCAATATGGTTTGCATTCACAACCGTAATATCCAGTACCTCCTTTCTATTTGCGACTATGAAAGTGGGTTCTGAACCACTATTTACTACTACTAGGTTATTATCTAATAGAAAATCTAAAAGAGACTCACCTCTTGAGTTAATATCTGAGCTTCCTCAGACCGTGTGGTGCGCATTTGCATCTGCACCCATGAGAAGCGGAATGTGTCGCCTATCTGTAGAGTTTATAGTCTAGTCTATATTTTATTCTAGTTTATAGTCTATTCTATAGTATAGTCTATATATAGTTTAGCGGAAAACTACTTTAGTTTAGTACTTTAAAACTTAAAAAGTACTCATTTTGTTTTTTTTTTTCAGAAAATATTCTGCATTAAAGAAATAATAACAAAAGATCAGTGCTAAAATGTAATTTTATTTCATAGAAATGAATTAAATATCGGCAGTGCATTGGATTGCCAATTTTCGTGCCATCTCTGGGACTGGAATTTTTGCAAGTTTTTTCGAAATAATTCTTTTGATTCCAACAGGCTTAGATTATTGGGAAAATTTTCAAACCAAAATATTAGTTGCTGAGCGAGTTCCTGATGACTTTCAAAGATGAAACCATTTTCTCCCGGACGAACTAACTCATTGAGACATTTGAAATTGTATGCACATACTGGCAGACCACAACCAAACATATCTACAACTTTCATCGGTAAATCCAAACCGCTTGAACTCCAATGTAGGCAAACGCCTAAATCTGCAGCACCTAATATTAAGGGATAATCCTGTGTTTCAAGCCATGGAGTAATTATACCCACTTTAGTGAATTTAATTTTTTCTATTTGTCTTTGGTATTCCTCCTTTTGGGGTCCTTTCCCCGTAATAATGCACATTAAAAAGGGAAATTTATTCGGATAATTTGAAGCTTCTTTCTCATAAGCTGTACGAATGATAGGATGAAAAATTTAATATACAAATCGGTCATTTAAGTTCATATTTTTAACACTTTTTTCACATTACCTTGCAAAGCTTTTAATAGTAGTCCAAAATCTTCATCTGGCGTCCAACTAGTGGAAGAAACTAATATGCCCATTCTCTGTGGTTTGTTAACTACTATATTATTGCTTAGTTTTTGGGTCAATGCTGTTTCTTCTAATACTCCAGACTCCTTTAAATTATCATAACACTTTGGCAGAAATTGTGGGTAATCCTTAGAAAGTTTCATAAATAAATCGTGCTTTGCCGCCACATCAATTGGATGGAACTGTGATGGAGGTCTATCATATAACACCGTAATATTTCTAAAAATAGAATTGATATTTAGATCTATTCTGAAAAACTATATCCTGGGAGATTTCCCCACTCCTTATTATACATAAAAATAGGGAAAACATTCCTTTTATTAAAGGTCTGAAAGTAATGCTCACCTTATATTCCAGTTAACGCTTAAATCCTCCTTCATAGCTTTGGTAACACAAAAATTGGCATCTGCTTTACTTCCAAACCATTTCTCAATCCATTTTGCTAAACGACAAATTCTACTCGTCTCCCCACCTCTTATACCAAGACCTAATATTGTATACGTGTAATTATGCCAATCTATAATCAACCGAGTACGTGTTAAAGCACAATACAAATAACTAACAACTAAAGTTGGTATTCCTGGAGGATTTTGGACAAGTAGAAAATTTGGTCTTCTTATCGACACTAATGCAATCATTAGACTTAATGTCTGCCAAATTGTTTTAAAAATCAATTTTAATATGGGAGTTAGATTTATCGCCGGAACCGGTGTGAGTTCATGTATTTTGCATTTTGGTTTAGCTGTTGATAATTCCTCCAATGGTTTTGTTTCAGCATATCCAATCAAATCAACATTGTAGTTTTCCTCTAATAAACTTACTGCATGATACTGCATTCGAGGACTTCGTCCAATATCACCCAAGACAATAATACAAGCATTACGTCTTAACGTTTGTACTTTTCCCATTATAATTCGGAAACAAAATAAATAGAATTTATTATATGTTCTAAGTAGTATTCAAACTTTGTGATTCCAACTTAATACCTCTTCAATACATTTTTTAAATGCAAAACGATATGACTAAATGCGATAAGGCTCCGTTAGTTTGTACGTTACGTTCCGTGACGTATCAGCTGAAATTTTTTTGGCTTACGAAAACTTGTGTAAGCCGTTAGTTTGGCCATAACGTTGTCGTAGCGTATAAACCTGCGGTAAATAGAATTTTGTCCGCAACGTTAAGTGACAGCTACAACCAACAGCTGATAAAATGTACCCGAAAAATCTTTACAAATAAAAAATACAGTGGTGCCAACATTTCATTACGATGAAATATTTAGAACATTTATAATTAGCAAAAATATAATTAATAATGTCATAAATTTTGTAGAAAATACACAACTCAAAAGATTATTTTTGCCTTTTTATATTCTTTAAGCTTAAAGTTTAAGCCATAAACTATGCACAAGATACTTGTTTATCTCAAAAAAATTATTAGTTTATTTTTTTGTTGTTAACTGTTAAAAAAAAACGTTACGTCTTTCTTTATGTTTCAGAATTTGTAAAAAAATGTTTCCCTTTTCTGAAAAATAAATTTTTGTTTGAGTTGTGTCACTTGTGTACTGGGTGTGCGATTGTAATAAATACATATCGCTCATTTACTACGTAATCTGAAAATAATAGAAATATGTATGTACATTTATTTACCTAGATTACAGTAAAGTGACGACTGTCTAATCCCTCGTTTACCTATGTTACGAAGAGTACATTGGCGACGAATAACCCAATATACAAATTAGGGTCAACAAGGTGATTACTGTCGAAAAGATGCGTTACATATAAAGTTGTATGTTTATGTTTTTCATTGCCAAAGTTAACGGTAGTCAGATATGTACATACATATGTATGTATATGAAGTAAAAGAAATGAAAATTTAAAGATGAAATTTAAAATACATATGTGTAATTAATTTTAGTTATATTGGTATTTTTGTTTACATTTCTATTTTTTATTCATGTAGTCAGGTGGTATTTTATTAAGGTTTTTAAAAATACAACAATATTTTTTAGTAAGTAATGAAATTGAGAATATAAGAAGTGCGTAATACCTATAATTTCGAAAAAAATTATTTTAGAGACGTGTTACAAATTTCTACATGCAAATTGTGAAATGGTAACTCTTTATTTTTTTAAATATTAAAGAAGTTATTTTATTCATTGCGGATTTAAACTTTTATTGAGTTCAAAAATTGATTGTTTACTTTGATTTATGCTATCTCTCTATCTTATCACCTATACTGAAGTTCATTTCGCGTTAATAAAAAGAAAATACAAGAAATTTCTCTTTTATAGTTTTATTTATTTTCTTTTTTTACATAAAACGCATTCAGTTTTTTTCTTTTTTTACATGGTTTTTAATTTCATTCTGTTTTTTCTATTAACGCTAAAAATGGCGTTTCTTAAATATATTTTTTCTGCATTTTCTTTATAATAATTTAGTAGTTTTTTTTAATGTTCGTTCTTCTGCTGCATTTTTATTACTTCATCCTAATATTGTATCTTAGTAAAATAAATTATCATTTCAACAATAAATTTAATATTTTTGTTTTTGTTTTCTTTTTTGGATTTTCTTATAGAGATTAAAATCCCAGTCATAATTATAAATTTTTTTGACGTTGTTAAACGTTAATTTTTTTGTTTTGTTTTTGAGTAGTTACTTAATTTAATTTTGTTTGTTGTTGTTGGTGTTTTGGTTGCCTCACACGAAATTTTGTTGTAAAGAGTTTTTGTTTTTTGTTTGTTTGTTTTAGATACATAAATTACAATCTTTTTGTAGAAAAAATATTTTATGATTTATGACTAATTAATCAGTTTTTCTTTTTTTGTTTGCTAAGCAAAGAAATGAGAGATAGATGGTAACGACAATTTAATAATAGTAAGTAATAATAATAAAATGTGAAAAAGGACGAAAAAGTGACAGATTCCTTAGATTATACTATCACTTGTTGGTTTTTGTTTTGTTGTTGATTTTTTGTTTTCTATAGTTTCTTCTTTCTTGCAATAAAGTTTTCTTTGCAGTTTATTTTTTAAGATTTTTTTTATTATTTTTATTATAATTATTCTTTTGTTTATTTTAAATATAATTTAATTAACAACGACCTAACATCTATGTTTTTTTTTTATTTGTTTGTTTGTTTGTTTTGAGATTGTAAGCGAATAGTACAAGATATATGCGGCGATGTATGGGAAAGAGGGCGGAGGGTGGCTAAGAGTTGGGAGAATCGAAAATCAATGCTGAATTTCAATAATCATTGAATAATTGCAATTTGTTAATGTTCTTCTTGTTGTCCAATTGCATATATGAATAAATGAAGTGTTTGTTTTCGTTGTTGTTTTTAATCGAATGATGTTTTCACACAATAAATATATAGAAAAGCATATTGTAATAAATAAATAAAGTGGAATGGGAGAAATTTAGTTTTTAAGTTTCTTTCGTCAAAAGCAATTGATTTGTTTGATTGAAAAATTAATAATTCTTCCCAGGATTTGTATAAATGTATCTATATGAAATATTGTATGCAGATGGAGTAAAATTTTGTGTTATATAGATATATGTAGAAGGATTTGCGTAAAATTATGTATAAAATAATAATCGTGTACTATAAAAAGCAATCGTTTGATTTCACAATCGACTTGTCCTGCTGGTTTTGAATTGAGAGTGATTAAATGGGAGAAACTGAAGTGTAACAGTATTTTGGTCTTCTTATTCATAATAGGTAGGAGGCATGAGATGATGCCAGACTGGCGTATTTATTGTGTTGTGTTAAATTGTACGGGGAACGTACGTAAGTAAATTATACATATATTTTGTATTATTCGCAAACAATCAAGGAATATAGCGAGAGATTTGTTTGTTTGTTGTGGTTTTCTTTTTTGCAATATTATTTATCCTTTTTATGTTTTGTGTCTCAATCATACAAATTTATTACTGTTTCAGTTGGATTCTGGTTCTTCCTCTGCTTGTTATTTATTATTCTTTGACGCACACACATAAAAATGATCTCAAGTCAAATTAGTTTTCTCTTTTGACAGATAGACAGACAGCATTGTTGAAAATTTGTTGTTTAAGCATGTTTGTGTACAAGTTGTAAAATAGAAATGTTTTCAGAGTGTTCACAAACATTTTAAATGTGTTTTTTCTCTCACTTTTTTTAATTAGTTTTTTTTTTTATATCTTAATAATACAACATCACACTTGTTCATTTGTCCAAATACACATTTGTTCTTGTCCGTTCTCGACAAGTAAAAAAAATAAAAAAACAACACTCGTGAATATAATTTTGTTTTGGCTCTAACAAAATTTGTACAAAACATGCTCTAGTTTAGTAGCTTCATTGGGTTTGATATTGTGGCATTGCAGCACTATACATCATTTGTGGCCCCAGCGAACCGTTTGCTGCTGTGGCTGCTGCTGTAACACCTGGTACTACTGTTCCTGGAACTCCCCAAGCAACGTTTGGCTGAACCATTCTGTAACCAGCAGCTACAGAGACAGAAAAATGTAAAGAAATTGCCAAGAATTAATCAATAATTAATTAAATGTTAAAATTTTAAAGGAATACAATTTCTAAGAAACTTACGCATGCCTCCAGCTTGTTGCGCACTTGCTGCATAAGCGTATGGATAGTAGCCTTGTTGCATATATTGTGTTTGCATTTGCGCTGCTTGATAACCCTAAAATATATAGAGTAGAAATTTATTTATTAAAAATTAAATTCATGTTTCTTAATTTATTATAAAAAACACACAAAAAAAATTCCCTTTGTAAATTATCATCCACTTAGGATCATGTATCTTCAATTTTAAGATATTACATTGTACCATTAATAGATCCGAAAAGTTCCTAATCAGGACTCTTCATTCAAAAAGTACCATTTGAAGAACGTAAAAGTATCAAAAGTCCCTTCATATGGGTTTATTCCTATGGTTTATAGTGAGTTACACTCCACATCGTCAAAATTTTACAGGGAAGACAAAAGACTAAATAAAATTGAAACTATTATTGTTATAAAAATCTTTCTCTCTTTCTTCCATGTATTATATCCTAACATCAATAAACATGTTTGATTGAATAATTGTGCCTCCAGGCATTGTCTATTGTGTTGCTTTTTAGGACATTCTGACTTGTGGAAATAAATAATTTGTTTTTACGCCCTTTTGAATTTTATGTTAATGAAATTGATGTTTTTGACAATAAAGTTATAAAAAATTGCAACAACATGTATTTCGATGTAATGGACCATTTTCAATAAAAAAGTCGATTTTAAAATTTTTGGTTGTTACGCCTATTTGCATTTCAGGTAACGATATACTGATGCAAATTTCGGGGACGTATACATAGAAATATGTATTCATAAATTTTTTTCAACGAAAGAAGGATTCCTTTCTAATCTACGTTAAATTTTGACAAAATTCAAATTTTATTCAAAATAAACTCAATGAGCTTGAGTTTTCGCTTTGGTATGTTTTATTTTAAAACATTTGGTTGCGCCCTTTTGCATTTCAAGTTGCGAAATATTAGTGGTGTTTATATCAGATGTATTTTAGACGAATAAATCAATGAAATATGTAGGTATGTAGTATGAGTAATTCAAACTTACCGCTGGTGGATACCAATAACCCATTTGTTGATATGCCGTCGCATATGGATATTGTACGGCTGCTGCTGCAGCGGCAAGTTGTTGTTGTGTCATCATTTGTCCGGGTATCGTGGCACCGGCAGCTGCTGCTGCATTTGCTGCCGCTTGAGCGGCGGCTGCTTGTTGTGGTGTTGTTGGCATACCACCTGGTCCAATGATGGCACCAGCAGCTGCTGCAGCCGCCGCAGCAGCAGCACCTGCTGACGCCGCTGCCATATTGTTCATCTGATTATCGTTGTTGGCAGCCGCCGCATTAAAGCCACCATTCTCTTTGCCCCAGAAACACTTGACCGTATTGCCGAGCACTTCCGAATTGTGTGTGTGTTCGATGGCACGAGCTGCCGATTCTTTTGTAAAAAACTTGATGAAGGAATAGCCTTTGTCTTTGAAAACACGTATGTCTTGTATAGTACCGAATTGCACGAAATGCTTGTGCATGAGTTCTTCGGTGATCAAATTTGGCGGGAAGCCACCACAATAGACTGTGGTATTCATGGGACTTGACTGGTTGTAGACCTCTTCGAAAGTTTGTCGTGAGTTGTTTTTTATACCTCCACCACCGCCGCCTGTATTTGTTTTACTGGTTTCGCGTGGTGGTGCTAGTTTGCGCGTTGACCAGTTGGTACGTATGGAACGTGAACCAATCCATTGGCCATTCATTGATTGTATTGCATTTTCGGCTTCTGCCTTTTTAACGAACGAGACGAAGGCGTAACCCTTCGATTTCATTGTTTGCGGATCACGTACAATGCGGCAGTTAGAGATCTCTCCAAATGGAGCAAATGCTTCGCGTAAGCTTTCGGTTTCTATTTCAGGACTTAGATCGCCCACAAAGATATGGTGATGTGAACTAATGTCTGTTTTCGGCTGATTGCCAGGACTAGTGGCCCAATTAACCTGAATGAAAAAGAATGAAAAATAAGTTTTATAATACATTATGGAAAAGGTGGAGAATGAATTGTTTATTTACCTTAATTTCTTTATCGAGAAATAAACGTTTATTCATGGCTGTTAAGGCGGTCGTGGCTGATTGGTAAGATGAATATTCGATAAAAGCATAGGGATCATTGCCAGCCTCACGTATAATTTTACAACTTTTCACTGAACCCATTTGACTAAATAGAGCGACTAATAAGTCTTCTGACACGGAGGCATCCAAATTCCCTACATACAACGTTTTCGGCTGTGACTCGTCCATTGTGGTTAGAATTTATGTTTGGTTGTGGTTGTATTGATTTATATATGTAGATCGATCGATCGCTCGCTGGTTGGATGGATGTATGTTGTTGGTTTGTTGTGTTAAATTTATAATTGGATTTGGCTACGCTATCTATCTATAATATTGTATTCTATAGTTTTAAATAGATTTCAAGTTACTTAGCCTATAGTTATTATGTTTATTTTTTATTTATGTTTTAAAATTGTTAAATGTGGATACAACTGTTTTTATTCCCCTGAGCTTTTCTTCTTTGCCCTTGTTTTGTCAACGTTTTTGTTTTCCAAGGGACAGCAGCCTTTGATTTTTGTTTTTTTTTTTTTGTATTTAGGAGCTTCTTGAGATAATATACATAAATGTATCTCACTCTGTGCTCTGCTTTGAATGATTTGTATGTGTTTATTGCTATTATATGATTGTTGATTTACGATTGTTGGTTAAAAAATAAATTTATACAAGTTAATATTTTTGTTTCCCGAACTGTTTGCTCCTATGGAGTTTTAAGTTGCGTTTCTGCAACCTTACAGCTGCTGTTTACTTTTATCTGTTCTAATTGCGATTGCGGTTGCTTTTGTTATATTCAGCACGGTTGCAGTAAAATTTTCTGTTGTTTTCGTAGTTAAATGACGATTTGTTATTAATCCTGTTGCTTACAAACACACACATTTATTTTAATTAATATATGGAATATATACATGTATATATATATATATTTAATGTAAAATGTTATGATATACTGTTTCAGTTTCCGTTTCCTTAGGTCCTTAGTCTCACACAACTAACGCTAAAACGTATGTTTTATGTTTATGTTTTAAATTTAAATTATATTGTTATAGTATTTTGTAGTATCATTAGTAGAATTTAATCTAATTTTTGAGGGAAAGGATCTTGTTGAATGATGATATAAATATTATATAATAACTCGGTATGTTTTCTTTTTCCTGTTGCTTTGTTGGTTGGTATATTAGAAGAAATAATATTCGAATACTTTTGATACTATAAATATGTATATATTTCTTAATAAAACACGTTTGGTTGTCTATATTCTTCTTTGACCTCTTTGTGGCTGACTTTAGTATAAACTTGTTTTGTTGTTTGTTTTTGCTTGGCAGGTTATATTTTGGGTGGTTGGCTTTACAAGGAATCCACTTGGATGTCTTCTTTTATATTAAAATATCCTTCAATCCGTCTTGCCTATTATTTGATGGTATATAGAGTAGAGTAGATGATGTTAAGTTAATTATTTTGTGTTTTCTTAATACATTTTTGTTAAATCTAATCTACAACTCTAATGGAGTGTTTAAATTTGCATATTGAAGAATATTTTTTTATTTTAAAATAGTTTTCAAACAAAATTCATATAGTATTCTAAAGGATTTTCTTTCTCTTGGAGAAAAAAAATATTCCTATTTAGTTTTTTATTTTTTTGTAATTTACGGAATCAGTGCTCTTTTATTTTAGCTTTGTTGTATTTAATCACTCGCCGTTGCTGTTGATATTTTGCTTGATAAAATTTACTTACAAAATAGTTGATTATTTAAATTAATATTCTTGTATATACGATTTTTTGTTTGAAATACGTTCGCTAAATAGCTGAGTCAGGCTCTTTTGGACTTTTCTTGAGGTTTACTAAAAAATAGAAAAGTTTATTGTCGATTATTAAATAGATTTGGGTTTTAAATAGTTTAGAATATGTAAAACAATTGTTGGATAAATATTTATATTTATGGTTTAAATAAAAACTTTTCACTAGGGCAGATTCCTGTGTGGTCCTATGTCAAAGCTAAACTCTTAGATCCTGTATTTAATTGAGAAAATGTTAACAGGTGCTCTGTGCCCTATTGAGCATTATGTAGAGAGATAAGGAACTTACTAAGACTATGTGTCATGGTTCGCTAAATCATGGGGGGACAATCACACAAACAGTTTGTACGATGTAGGTTTACTTGTTTAGAATAATATTCCCAAAGGAATTCCAAATCATAGAATTACAACATTAAACATCGTTAAGTAGATCATGCAGTATTTACTGACGGATCCAGCGTTTAAATTACTGGTATAGATAGAACTATGTTATTTTCAATGCATTAGTTAAAGATTGTATAAATGCACTGCAAAAAAGGATTGGAATCTAAAACTAAATCGGAGATCCGTCGCACTATCCTGGAATAGAATGGTCAAAAGCAAGAAATAGTGTAACATCGCAACGCACTTCTGCAGGTTTTTGCAAATATATTGAAGTTCTAGCGAGGGTTGAGCATTGGTTTCAAATTGTTCTAGAATACTGAGCCACAGACTATGGCTAGATCGGTCATTTGACTGAATGGAAATATCCATCATTGCTTAGAACAAAGTTGTTGATAACAACTTTTGTGGATATTTTCAACAATAATGTCAGTCAAGTGACCAGCCATATATTTGTCCCTGTTCTTGAAGGTTGTGTCTATATTATTTTCGGTAATTCATTTCTGCTATATTTCTTCATAAGAAGAGGTAGACTGTACATTGTTTTCAACCTGTGTTACTTTCGGATTTGATGCTATTGAGGTTAGTAATCTAATTTAATATTTTAAACCATAGTCTTGTCACACTTTCTTTTATATTATCTCTATTTTTCTGAAGAAAACTACAACGAAATGAAGTTGTTCCTTATGATACATAACATTCTTAACCTAAAGCTTTAATTGTTAATTGTTGTGATCTACATTAGATTCAATTTATTTTTAGATTAACTGAACAGACAATTGACCTTTATCTTTTACTTAAAAGCGCAATCTCATCTCTACCTATTTCGCCAAAGATTTTCAACTCAGAGCCAGTTGTATTAAATTGCTAAAATTGCAACGACAAAACAAAAGCACATTACTTTCGAAATTTTATATTAGAAATAATTTAATTTTTATATTCTTCCACCTCATGTATGTTGGTACCTATTTTTTTACAAAGACAATAAAAAATGATAGTTTAATAGAGTTAATTTGATGTTTGGCCAAGGCACTTTAGTTTTGATGGTTAGGTTTATTTTTTTCTATATTACAGGTGCATATTTTCCAAAAAAAAAAAATAATTTTAATTTGAAAATTTTCTGAATTTAATTAACAAGTAAAAGTTCCTGCTTTATGGGCCGATTATGTACATATCTCGGTTGCCACTTCAGTTGCGTTGCTAAAATGATTTGTATACTAGACGTTTTTTAAGCAATAGCTTGGAAACTTTATAAATAACGAATGTTTTATTCCTTAATAATATTCGTCCAATGAGTTTTTGGTTGACTTGAACCATTTCTAGTTTGAAATCATTCTCTTATTTTGAAGCTAGCAACGCAACTGAATTTCATTTGCCATACATAATCGACCCATCAGTTTTGTTCGACACTGTAGGTCCTAGAGTACATGTGTATTTTGCAGGTACACACCCCTTTCGAAGTAAACTAAGTAGGTTTCCTTTAAAAAATACTAATAAGTACTTAATTGGGAAATGTTGGCAAGATTTTTTTAGCAATAAATATTTCTTTATTTAAATAGTATAAATTTTATAATGACAACAAACTGTACTATTCTTTTTTTAAATACATAATAGGTACATAACTAGGTATGTTAATTTAATAGTACATATTTTAGTAGTAGATAATTTAATTTTGTTAAAAATCTTATGAGGATATTAAAATTGTATACATGTGTATAAAGGTACAGCAGCATACAGCTGAAAAAGATAAACCATTGGATATGCTATGGAATTAAATTACGCATCTCAATAATATCTATATTCACAACCCTCCCTAAAAGGTTTTACCAATAAAACGAAAAACTTTAAGGTCATGAACTTGATTTTTAGTTGTCCAAGCTGTAACATATTAGAGCAACAAAATGCAGATAAGCAATTATGAACAATTCAACATTCCCGGCATAAATATGCTGTTAGAATTATTTAGCAACCATATTTGACAAACAAAATACTATTTAAAATTAATATTTTCGTAGCCCTAAAATATTCCTTTTCTTTTTTTTTTGGTTGGCGCTTTGCGGAATACAATACATACTACATGACACAAACACACAAATATTTAACGCGCCTCATAGAAGAGAAATAAAGAAAAGAACGAGACTTCATTGTTTTTTCTTTCGTACAAGTTTTTTTATATATTCTATTAACTTACGTATGTCTTTAAATTATATATTTCAGTATTTATAAATACTTTTTCTTAACATTTTAACTTTTATGTGCACGAAAAAAGTATTAGCTTTTTGCAAACAATTATTTAAAAAAAAAATACTAAAAAGTTAAACACACTAGAACAAAAATGAACTATAGAAGAGAAATGGCTCTTCGTTAACAAGAATAAAAAAAGACGATGATAATTGATAGAAAGAGTTGCAAAAATATAAAATACCGGTTGCATATAGTTGTACTCTTCTAACTCATTGAAAACATTGTCAAACAATTTGCAAACAATGAAACAAAGCAAACAAAAAAATGCAAAAGAAAAAAACCGGCCATGTAGGGTTGCATTTACATGCAGATAAAGAGTTGTCAGCTTTATGAAATTAATAAATCATTTTAGCGGCTGTGCATTGAAATATGAAAATCACTAAATTTATTTTAATTTTAATATTAATATGTATTCTTACAAACCCAGAGAAGTTTAAAATTCCATAACTAAAAAGAGAACTGGAAAAATCTTGTAATAAATCTCGGTCCTTATTAGACATATTAAACCATTGTTTACGAATTAGGTATATTGTTACCAAAAGTTTTATCAAAGTTTTGTGAGAATGAATTCCAAAATTTTATTTTGAAATGTAGGTAGTTAATTTTTAAAAATAACCAGTTTGAACACGCTTTCTCTAACATTTAATTAAGAGAATTAACCGAGCTCCCTCGAGGTAGTTATGGACTGTCCCGCCGAACTTCTGGGAATTCTTAAGACTTTCTATGTAGTTGAAAAGGTTCCTTGATGATTCAATTCGTATTTTATATTATATTCCAGCTGAATGATATTTAATTTGTTTGGATCTATTGTATACGAAAAACTATTTTTTGTTTCAATAATGTCTTTTCTGATTAGAGGGCTTACAGATTTTCTCCTCTAACGGTGAAACCAACACTGCCTTCGCTAAAAATCCTTTTCTTTTTTAAATCATTTTGAGCACAGTCGGCTTTCGGACAGTCTCAGGGACTTTATCCTATGATAAAGTCCCTGATCATAATACCTTTTCTACATATCAAATTTTTCTGGTTGAAGTGCAGTGTTTTACAGAACTTGGTTTATACCGAACTTTGAAGCCAGACATCTCTTTTACATATTCTTACTCAGAATGAAAGTCTTTCAAGTTATAAAACAAATATTCAAATCGATAGATCTTGATTTAAGACAAATTTATGTTTTTAAATCCTTGTCCTAAGGACTGTTATATGAAATTTGTAAAAACAACAATTTCACTCCATACGGCAGCAGAACGGGTAATAAAGATCTCAAGCGGTTTTCATTAATTGACAACATTGGTGTCGATTTCACTTTATAATAAAGAAAATGCAAAAAAAAAATAGGGAATGACTGACTGACCATCTAGCATTCAAATAATAACTGCATATTAGTTTTGTAATTTACATTCAATATATAGTTAAAAATTTTCTAGTGTTTATAATGCTTGGCAACCCTATTGATTTGCAACACAAAGGCATCATCAACTTTATCCACAAAAATATTTTACACTAATTTTTAACATTTTCACTTTTACTTTTTCTATTTAAATTCGTTTTCATATAATTAATAAATATGCTATTGTTTTAAAAGGTTCCTTTTCTTAAACACTTCCCAATTACCAGAAGCAACAAACAACCACCACTATTATTATTTTCATTTGCCACTAACGCCGCCGTTCGTTCATTGTGTTCTTGACTAGAAAAAATAAAATAAAAACTTACGACACGTCTCTGATGTGTGTATGTGTGTGAGGAACAATGGTTTGGAAAAAACTTTATTAAAAAAAAAAAAAAAGAAAAAAAGTAAAATTGTGTTAAGCTGCCGTCGTCGTTCTTCCCGTAAAGTGCATCCACACAATGACGTGGCTTAAATCACTGTTTTTATTTATAATTCACATTGAAATCTAAAGATTTCACAAAATATTTAAATTTGCTAAAAATTAACACATAGTTTCTTAAATTTTCTTTAATATTTTTTCCAACTTATAATTGTTTAAAAACGCGTCGCTAATTTCTTTTTTTACCTTGCGCTAGAAGCGAACTTATAAAACTAACATGGCTGCAAAGAACCAAGCCGCTTCTAAATGAACGGCGTTGGTGGCGACGGCGTGGTCTATTTTTATCGGTGCGCTGACTAGAACTTATTGGCTGCGGTGAATTTATAATAAAAAAATAATTTGGACCTGATTGAAAATAAGTTAATATAAATTAAAACAGATTTATACACAAATACATATAATTTCATCAATAAAATTTTTATCAAACTTTAAGATTTCTAAAATTTGCAATTTTTTCACTCACATGCATCCTTGCTGTATTATAAAAAATAGCATGCGACACAATTTATAATCTATTAACCTTAAATTATTTGCTTTTTTATAAACTTTCATTTAACTCGCTTTGGTTACAAGCTTTTATTTAACTTGTTTTCTACGGTACAAATTTTGTAACTAAATTTTCGTCGAGTTCCCGTAGCCCGATTTAGTTGAAGACAATGCATGTTATATTTGAAAATTCCGAGTTGTGATAGTATGTTGTTGAAAATTTTAACTTAATTTTTAAAGTATTTCCTGTGAAATAAACCTATAAAGCCTTAACATTTAATAATAATATTATTTCCTGTATACATCCGGTCAGTACCATTATTTTGATGGATTTATGTAATAACGGCACTTTTATCAAAAGTAAAAAATACTTTTTGGTTATACATGGACCTTTATCGTTTCAAAATTTATATTCAATACATATACTGTAGAACCTCGATTTTCAGTATGGTCAGGACCGGAAGCATTCTGTATAATCGATTTTCCAGGTTAATTGAGTGCCAATTTTGGCGAGTTTTTTATTAATAAATGAATATGTACATATGTATTTATATAAAAACTAAATAATTGAATGATACATGTAATTTTGTCAAAACAGTAAATAGTGGATATGGATCTCATGTTATGTAATTTCTAAAAATTATCATGTAGTGTTGTTTATCTCTTATTTTTAAATTTTTGTATTTTCCTACTGTATATAAACTTTAAAGGTCTATATACCTATAACATCAAAACTAAAAATTGGTTGCCTTAAATATGTACATACATCACAAAACATGGAATTAAAAGTTGATTAAAAGTTTGAAGAGTTATATATATTGTAAATAAAAGCCTTTTTATTATTTGAACCAGCTCACCAAATAATTTTAACTGACGGGATCTTTGAATGAACCTTAATTTTTCTCCATACAAACGATGTGAACCCAAATACGAAATGCGAACCCTGTATTTTCTAAACATATGATTGTTACTCCGAAAAGTACAACACTATTTACTTACAACAACACTTTTTACTTACTATATAATTAACGCAAAAAAAAAATAAATAGTAAATAAAAAATAATATAAAAGTTTGCAAATAAATCTCTGCAGTTTTTTCCAAAATGGGAAAATCAAGTAAACACGAGAATAAATCGAAGAAAAAACACAAGCACAAAGAACGCAAAGAGAAAAAGAAGAAATCGAAGAAGTTAAAAAAACACTCAAAGGAAAAGAAGGATAAAGACAAGAAAGCGGACGAACAAAACGAACTCCGCGCCATTACAACAGAAAACCGAACTGTAAAAGATAATGATGATGATTTTGCCATACCCGTAGAGCTAATGAACAGTAAATCACATGCTCCGGAGACACCAGAAGAATATCAACAACGTCAAAATCGTATACGTCGAGAAATTGATCCAGTTACGGGTCGTTCCAGGCTGATTAAAGGCGATGGTGAAGTTTTAGAGGAAATAGTCAGTAAAGAACGCCATAAAACCATAAATAAGGAAGCCACCAAGGGAGATGGTGAATTTTTTCAGGAAAATACATTGGCTAAATTATATTGATTGTTGTTTGGTGGTGGTCTGCATGAAAATATTTCTATAGTTGTGTTTATGAGCCAAGTACATACCGGAATTAATAAAACAACTTTTATGTTGTAATGGGCTAATAAACGGGGTTGTCATTTTGTTAATAACAAATCAAAATAAGGGTGGAAATTTGAAATTCCACACAAATTGTTCTTTAAGATTAGGTTTTCATTCTACTTCATCTAATAAGAAAATGATTTCAAATGCAATACATTGCAGTTTTGGGTTTTTTGTAATGAAAAATTTTAATTTCGAATTATTTGTTATATTTTAACTAAATAATATGTATGTAAGTGTATGTACATAGCAAATATAAGGAATGCTTTCTTAATATTTTAATAATTTTAGCCTAAACGAAATAAGTAAATAAAAAAAATCCATATGAACTTTGAATATATTAAAATAAAAATACCTAATAGAAGTTATACAAAACCTAACGAATGGTTAATAAAAACAGTTTGACAAAATTTCATCTTTAAAACTCTTAACATAGTTGATAAAAATATGTAGTGGCACCATCTTGCCAGGTTGGATCTTCACTAACTTTTGCACGACACATGGGGCAGGTTTGTTCACGCTTAAACCAAGTGTTAACACATTCATCACAAAATATATGACCGCATTCCAACACCACGGGTGTGGTATACGAGTCATGACAAATGGGGCAAACAGTACCAGCAGCTTCTAACTCATCTTTGGTCGGTTTACGATCATAGTCCTATTGGGGACCAGAGAATAAATAAAAATTTAATTTTAAATACTTAAAAAAGAGCAACTAAACTATACCCACCATATTGCGCACAAAATTAATTAAAGCTTTCTTTAAAGGTTTACCACGCTCAACAAATTCAAATCCTTTGGCTCCCATATAAAAGGCCGAAAATAATATGCCTGAGATCTAAAGTTAAAGAAAATGTTATAATTTAGCTTTTTATTTTCGAAAAATAATGTAAGCATAACTAACCACTTCTAAGCCTGTATAGGACTCAAATAAAAATGTTAACCATTGTCTCATGGGTACTAAGGCCCGATAGAATTGAGAAATATATTCAATCAGAGCATATAAACGTGCCTGGAAAACAGAGAAGTAACACATATAATAAACTCTTATTGTTATTTGTTCCAACTTACTCGAGATTTATGACGTATAGCTTTAGTTGGCAACATAGTCACTATTATTTTAATCAATTGAGTCAACAGTTTTAATATCAAATCATTTACGGCAACATAATAAAGTAAAGCTCCTAATGATATAGTCTTTGCCACAGAAATTGTACTATTCGAAGGATTGGTTGTGGGCAAAGCAGGCACTTCATCTATTTGATGTTTACCAAGCACTTCCGATGCTAATTCATTTGCAGATGGAGCCGTATTTTGAGCGGAGAACAAATTTAATGTTATAGTGGCTCCTGGAGGATTTATTAGAAGACCAAAGGGATCGGGAGTAGAGGTGGACAAAATAAAACGATACGTTACAACACAAACCACTAAAATCATATCGCGTATAAGCACGGCATATGATTTTTGATTGAGTTTGGCAATCTGCTCCTTTAAAGATTTGTTTAGTTGATAGAGTACACCATGTAGTAGTAAAATATCAAGTATACCCAGTAGATGATCGTGTATAAACTTGACGAATATAATAAATATAAATGGAAGGTAACGTACAAAATGAGTAACGAGTTTGACAATCATTTCTCCCACAGCATTTGTATCGGCATCATCTATCATATCGATAGTAGGAGCTGTGGTGCTACCAGTAGCGGATGTTTGTCTTTGTGGTACACGTCCAGCATTTGCAGTCGAGGCGGCAGCATTGCTTTGTCTACGGCTGCCGCCTCCACCTCCAGTTCCATTACTATCTAGGGATATATCGACGGCTGGTGTTTGGGGGGTAGATGTGGAATTTTCATTTATACTCCTATCTTCGGTTAAACGTGAATTTTGTCTTGACAATCTTAAGGCAGATGAAGAGGATGAGGTTTGTGTTTCTAAGCCATTACTGCTGTGATGACTTCTAAAAGGCGGTTGCAAGTCGCTTTCAGGCTGGTTGGCATTTTGCCGATTGAGCAAAAAATGAAACTGTTCTTCGGGTATTACATCGTTTGTGGGTAAAGAGTCGTAACGTACACTAGCTGTGGACACTGGTGCAAAGATTGCACGTAAAACATCTGAACGCGGTGTTACAGGAGAAGATAAAACTTCATATAAGTTTTCACGCCAAGTACGTGGATGTGCATTAGCTGTGGAATATTCACCATTTGGCATTGTAACATTTGGGTGAGCATCTCGTAGAGATTGTGAGCGATTTAATTGGTGTCTGGCTTCGCGCAACATAGCAAATAAATTGGGAATTCTTTGCCTATCATCAAGGTTTGAGTTGTCAACACTATTAGCACTGTGTAAATGGGTAACATTCATGTCCATATTAATTCTTGTGGTATCGGCATCTCTTCGCAATTGCTGCAATAATTGTTGCCTTTGCAGATGTTGTTGACTGGTTCCTGGGCTATCATTTTCAATATTTATTGTTGTCTGAATGTTGCCCATAGCATGTTGTGATGCAGGCGATTGACTGAGCAGCACTTCCATTTCATCATTGTCACTGGAACTATGGCCACCGCCTCCACCACTACTACTCGATCTACCTGCTGTTGTATTGTAAATATTACGTGTGTTGTTATTGTTGTTACTCATACTTTATATTTTTTAACTCTCCTGTTTGTTTGTATTTATTTTATTTTTAGAGCTAATATTTATGAAAATTTTTTGCATTTATATGAATAATTGTATATCGCTTTTTCAATTCATTTGCGAAAAAATAGATATCATAACTTTCTTTATTATCGACATTTCACGTACTTTGTATTTTTGTTTGCAAAAGATTAATTGCATGCAGGGATGGCAAATTTGGTACGATGGTACTTTTTTTGATACTATTTGATGTTCAAAAATACCGTGATACTCCCGAGTCTTATTTGATACTCTCAACCTCCGGTTATCGTTTAACAGGTGGATATACTGCCGGTTAAAATGATTTTTGTATGTAAAATGTCAATTTATCGTTATGATAAAACATAATCAGACAATGAGAAAATGGGGGTCAAAGTATCTTTAAAAGTTCAAATTTGAAATTCTAAGAATGTTTTGAAATCTAGTTTTAAAAGCCACTTTTTAGAAGTATGTTTTGCAAATAACCTATGCAGCTCATTTCGAATTTTTATCTTGATTGACATTATATGAATATTAATCTAATTAAATTCCATTGTTAATATTGTATGAAAAAATATTTAACTTTAAAACTAATTATTTCCAAATGATAGAAGCTCGAAGGACTCAATTTCTATCTAATATAAAACGATATGTTTTAAAATTTTTGGTGAAAATTATTTGGACTTTAAAGCAAATTATTGTTTCATGTCATGGATGGTCTTATGTATGGTCTCATGTGTAGAATTTGATATGACTATTGATTTTTTAACAAATGAACACCTATGTACATCGAATTTTAATTTAATAACACATATGTACATATGTATATTAGGATGGCGCCAAAATGGAAATTGCTGATGTTCCCACCGAAAATGAATTTTTTTTTCATTCTAAGATACCATTTCTCAAAATTTTTGTCCTGACGTCAATATTTGGTGAGCTGGATCAAAGGATAAAAAGGTCTTTTTTAGGGTTTTTATGTTATTTTTTTTCACATTTTTGACAAATAAACCTTATGCAAGTTTAGTATCATATGAAAGGTCCTTGGGAGACGATTTCAATGACATACACAAATTTGTATACAACACCAGAATGATTACAAATGTCGTAATTTTTCGGAAAAATTTTAAGTGTTTCATATTTTTACATAGAAATATATAATGTAATTAATTGAAATTATTATATTATAAACCTCACCTCACCTAAATTTCACCGAAATGGTTTTTTCTGTTTTTCTTTATGTTTTGTATTTTATCTTAATATTTTAAACTCTATTTTGTCCCAGGTATTCTGTTAGCTATATTTATCTAACATACTTAATATGTACATTAGCTTTACAATGGTATATAACACTTTATGGTTTCATTCTATTATCAATCAAATTTTTCAGTTTAACTAACATAGTAACACAATGTATCCTAAATATCTACTTGTTTGTTACGCTTGCTTTGTAAATATAAAATAAATATAAATAAATAAGTTGAATTTCTAAATTCATCCTTGAGTAGGGCCAAATGTGGCCTGAATTTCTTTAAGACAGGATTTATTAAAATATAACAAATTGTATCATGACTGATTTTAATATACATATTTACGAAGTACAATATCGGGGTAATATTTTTATGGTAGCTATATGACACCATGGACATTGAAGTTCATCAAATTATATCTAAAAGGTTAACATTGAGGGACGGACAAAGATTCATTATATCAATATATGTATATTAGGGTGATCGATTCAGTTTTTCAATCGGTCTTAAAACCGGTTTTTCTGATTTACCAGTGTCGGTTTTTTCTAAATGTTGATTTTTTCGAATATCGAATAACCCGGTTTTTTAACTTTTTAAAAGCCGGTTTCGAATACTTTTATTTGCTTTGTATTCAAAGATTACTTCAATTAAATTTTGAAATTAATAATAATACAGCCTGTCTAAATTTTAAAATATTCGAGTCAAGAAACTAGAGTTTTTTTTCTAAAGCACCTTTGGTTAAACTTTTTTGATTTTCCTAATTAATTAAAAAAATTTATTTGTAAAATTGATAGGAATAACTGTTGGATAAAATTTTATCAATCTTAAGATTATATTCCAATTACAATAATTAATTTGTCGCTGAAATATTATAGCAGTGTTGGAATGCCTCTGAAAATTTACTAAACAGGGACTTTAGAATAAACTAGGATTATGATTCTTCCCAATTTTTTACATTTAAGAAATAATGTTTATTTTAAAAAATCAGTTCGGGTCATATTTTTTTTTTCAAATTAAACTAGATGTTTTTATTTATAATAAAAAACCGTTTCCTCTGAATTTGAAAAATATCAACCGGTTACTCACAATACTCGAAAACCGGAAAATGTCGAATAATCGATCACCCTACGGTATATATAATACCTTTTCTACTTCTGTTGTTGATTATTTAAAAATGTCTAAATATGTGAAGGTGTATTTAAAAAATTAACAACTTTCAGCAAAAAAAATATATATTTTAGAACTCTAAGATCCAAAAAAGTACCTCTGCAATATTTTTTGATACTGAAACAAAATCTCATTTTCCATCCCTGATTGCATGATTAACACAGGGCAGAGCCCTGCGCCGACAAATATTAACGGCGGCGACTGACACTAAATATGTCGACGGCGGCTTAAAATCGACTGTAAGCCGGCTAAGTTTTCAACTACGTTTAGTTTTTAATTTTTCTACGATTTTAAATAAAAACGGAATCCGAGAGATCAGAAAGTGGGATTTTGGAAGCAAATATATTGTTTATAACAACGAAACAGACCAAGCTCATAAGTTGTGTGAGAAATTATGCAGGGATGAATAAAAAATTCTTAAAAATTAAAAACAAATCCTTTCTCCAAGTTTTACTAGGATCTACCTCCATATAAAACATATTGCAGAAAATCAGTTTCTAAAAAATTTTGCATTATGAAAATGATCAATAACGTAAAAACATAGATTTTTTATTTGTTTATTTACTAGCTATACCCAGTGCTGTGCTGTGCTACCCTAAAAGCAATATAAATAAGAAACCCACTTAACGATTTTGATGATTCTAACTACAATGGTTTTCCAGATATACAATTTGTTACATATGGGAGATTGTTGTTGCCAATTATTCCGAACGTTAATTAAGATTTTAATTTAATCTATGAAAAATTTGAATAATCTAATAGCTTCCCAGATATACAAAATTTTGTATTTAATTCATATGGGAAGTGCCAAGCCCCCCATTGAAAGTCCGCCCGTTATTCTCTAAATGTTCTTCAGTAAAATTTGAAGATTCTAGCTCTAATAGTTTCTCAGATATACGAATTTTTATATTTAATTCATATGGGAGCTACAAGCCCCTCAGATGAAAGTCAGATGAATATTAAAGTTCTTCGTGCAAAATTTTAAGAATTTAGTTCTATTAGTTTCCCAGATAAACGAATTTTTGTATTTAATTCATATGGGAGGTTCCGCTCCCCTCATTGGTAGTCCCCCAATTTATTACCCAAAATGTTTACATGGATGTTAAAGTTCATCATTTAAAGGGATCACAAAGAGATTGAAAAATATTCCAAAAGTTTCGCTTTGAAAACATTATTAGAGTGTATGAAAACTCGCAACTCTAAAGGCAGACCATTCCTATTTTAGCGGTAATTTATGATTAGACTAAGTAAGAAGTAAGAGTTGTATTCGGTAAATCATATGTCGTAAAAAAGCTAATTTCGGAAGTGGTCATATACATATATATGGACTTTGATCATTAGATTAATAAGAACGTCACCGTGATTTTCGGATTAGGGGCTTAAATGTGGAATTGGATCAATTATGGACAAAGTTGTCTATAATTTAAAGTATTGTTTTTAATTCTACCATAATTCTATCATAATGATAACTTTTGGAATGATGTATTAGCTATAAACTGATTTTCTGTAAGAGGGTTATATTGGCGGACCGATCCTCATAATTTTATTTTTCATAAATGTAGGTTTCGGTTCCTAAAAATGTTTTTTTCGCAGACATCGACATTTGTAAGCCATTTATGTGCGTTTAAGTCATTTTCTGAAGAAGTTTTCATATACATATTTACGTTCCAACAAAAATTGTTTTATTATGGTATTATTAAGTACATAGAAAACGTTAAAATCAATTATTGAAGGGGGCAGGGTCAATTATGGCCTATAGAGATTTCGATTGATATCGAGCCCTTTTTGCAAAATGGATGTAAGCGAGATAAATTTTCGTTCAATTAGGATACTGCGTGTTTAATTTTATATATTCAATATTTTAGAAAATTCAAAAAGTACCAGTTAAAGAACGAAAAATTACCAGAAATATTCCATTTTAAATTTGCATTCACTCAAGTCTCTGATTGCTTAGTTTTATGTTTTTAGGTTCATTATAATAGAAAATTCAAATAGAACCAGTTGAAGAACGAAAAAGTTACAAAAAGTCCTGTTTTATATGTTCTCACTTACTCCATGCCCTACAGGTTTAATTTTATGTCTATAGGTTCAATATTATAGAAAATTCAAAAAATACCTTTTGAAGAACGAAAAAGTACCAAAAAGTCCCCTTTTATATGTTATCACTTAATCCGGGCTGTACATTCCTAATTTCATGTTTCTAGGTTCAATATTATAAAAAATTCAAAAAGTACCAGTCGAAGAACGAAAAAGTACTAAAAAGTCCCTTTTTATATATTATAATTTACTCCGGGCTCTACATATTTATTTTTATGTTTCTAGATTTAATTTTATGGAAAACTCAAAAAGTACCAATCGAAGTACGATAAAGTTCCCATTTTATAGATTCTCATTTACTCCAGGCTCTAAGTGCTTAATTTCATGTTTCGAGGTTCAAATTTTGTAGCAAGCTCAAAAAGTACCAGTCAAAGAACGAAAAAGTGCAATTTTATAGATTCACATTTACTCCAGGCTCTACGTGCATAATTTCATGTTTCTATGTTCAATTTAATAGAAAACTCAAAAAGTACCTTTTGAAGAACGAAAAAGTACCAAAAAGTCCACTTTTATAGATTCTCAAGTGCTTAATTACATGTTTCTAAGTTCTAAGTCAAAAAAGTACCAGTTGCAACATCGTATTGGGAGCCCGTTATTATGTATTCATATGTATAAGTTAATAAACCAAAAACAATGTTTTATAAAAAAGTACCAAAAATAGGTACAATTTTCACCCCTTAAACGTCCGAATATCCAAAAAGTACTAA